GGGGCCATCCGAAGTTGAGGCTGCTTGCCGCTTCGTTGAAGAAACCATTCCCAAGAGCCGTTCACCCTTAAGCACGGGAGCCAGATCACATTCTCATTTGCGACGATTTTTCAGTTCTATTTCAACAGTCCCTTTATGTGGAATCCGCAACACAGCAACTGGTCAAGCTTGCAAGTGATTTACAGCGCACAGTGGTTCAAAACGAAGCTCAAAACAAATTTTGATTCATTCCTTTTTTGCCTTTCCTGGGAGGGCGCAGCGAAAATGAAGCTCACTTTTCATGTCATCCCCTTACAATATGCAAAGAACCGATTTTGGAAACGCACCACGCCGTGAACGATCTCGCTTGTCAGTGTTCTTCCAGCAATACATTTACTAATTTAATATTTATCTCATTAATACTGTTGAAACTGGCTGCGAACTCGACGTAAGTGGACTCGGAACCGCCCTGAAAGCTGTGGTGGATACTTTTATCCTGGCAAATCAATGTCGAATACGCCTCAACAATAAAAACGTTATGAGCGAAAAAGCGCCTGACCGAATACTCTTGAGCGCTACTGTACAACATTTTGAAAAGCTGGAGCTGGCAGGCAGCACAGCTAAATGAAGAAAAGCTGCAAATCCTTGGAGAGCAAATTGTTCTTCCAGTGTCTTTTTTGTTTTGTACAACAAGAGGATATTTACGCCCACTCTAAGTGGGTTGGCATGTGCTGACGTCCGCTTGTCCTCAACGTATTGCTCGGCCTTGGTTGTATCCGTGCTCAGGACAAATGGCGGGCTCAACGGGAAAACTTGAAGAACATGGATGATGAAGGTAGTTGAATAATATGAGCATTAGCTAAGAAACTTGAGCAAACCCAAGAGTTGCAGCTTGTTTGCTCGACGAGCGAGGTTTTGAGTTCCAGCAAGCCTGAGACGAGCAGAAGCGTCAGAGGCGCGACTTGAGGACGAGTGAACACTACATCGATGCGATAGCACATCTACTCAAGGACCCATCCACCCTCAGTGTCCTATTTGGTTTCAAATGAGCCTGCAGCAGGTACTTTTGTACTAATATTGCGCCTTGCTATTACACCACTACATTCATATTGTAAGTGTTGTACCACTTCATAAGTATTAGGCTTTGGACCTTTTCGTTGAACTGGCTCCAAAATGTTCTCCAACTCAAGTTTACGAGGAAACTACAGCAGTCCACCAAATTAGCAACAAAGTGTTTTTCTCTTTCATACACCCTCTCTGCTTGTTCTGTTCTACTTTCGCGTGCCCCCTCATCAATATTCGAGACCTAGTTAGCGTTCGTAAATGACCACGCTGTTGATGAAGGCATAGGAGTAAACTGTGCTTCAATTACCGGCCATAGACTGATGACTGACTTGGTTATGGACGCTTTAGGTCATTTCAAGATCACGAACTATTCTAGTTAGTCATATTCAGATGCTGTCAGCTCTGCTGTCAGTCCCAGCTCAGTTCTCCGCCTCACCCTGTAACAATAATAATGTAACAACGTCCCACTGTTGTTAATTACATGCGCTACGAAACTTGTGACAGGCAGCCTGACTGAATGACGGAGCTAGATAAGGCAGACAGACAAGCCAAATTAGAAACAAAGAAAAACAAACATTGGGGAAATGCATACACTCCACAGCACAGATGATCCGTTTCGCCCGGTGTCGTAGACGAATCATCAAAGTCTTACCAACCCCCCAGGCTCGTCAGTACGACAGGGTTGAAGACATGGACATAGACTACACAGGGGAAGGAGCAAGAAATAGGACAAAAAGAGAGAAACATGTAGAAAAAGCTCACGTGTAAAATTCATGCAATAAAAATGAGAAGGAATTGTACAGTAAAAATGAGAGAATGTTATAAAGTACTGAGTACTAAATACGTGTAAGAGGAAGAAAATTGGAATGGAGTAGATGGGCAACCAATTAAGGGAATGTTGAGTAAAAGACACCGTCGAGCTGACTACAACGGTGAATAAAAATTGTAGCGATAAAATGAGAGTTAGAGTTGAACATCGTTGCTAATGAGAATACTTTTAACCAGCCTACTTATCTTTTTATAGTTATTTGCAATAGAGTATTTGTAACTTATAAATTTATTTTTGTAAATACATTTAACAATGCTAGTAATAATAAAACCTTCTTCGTAGCCATTTTTTTGACAGAGTGGTGACCATATCCGTTATTTTGCTTACGAATACATCGAAGAACGTACAAGTGTTTGCTAACCTCAACGTTTCCGTATATATAACAGAGGCTTTGTTGATAAGGGAAATGTTTGTGTCACTATATGGAAATCTGATTACATTGAAGCTAAAATCGTCCGTTTTATTATACAACTTAGTACTAACTTTACCATTAGAAATATTGATTGTCAAATCTAAATAATTGCTGGAAAATTCACTATTATGAGTTTTTTTCAATTCAAGGGTATTTCGATAAACTTGATAAAGTTGTTCATCCACGTCACCGTCAGTTTGGTTATGTACAACAAGCAAATCGTCCATATATCTATATGGAATGAACAGCTTACTGTTATCAAACTTTTTGGATTTAGCATAGTAATACTCATGACAGAGAGCGTTAGATCTGCCAAAAGTGGACTAAAATTGCCACCTTGTGGGACACCTTTAGTCTGTTTGAACGTATTATTAGCAAAAAGACAAAAACTGTTACGTAAAAGATAGTCAATAAGTATACTAAATCGCTGGATTTGTAATATCTGTAGTTGTTCTTGATTTCTTTCCCATCTGTATAGAAAACATGGTAACCATTAGTGGCAATAAAAGATCTGTTGGCATTTTTGAAGCAAATGTTAAGCAATTCTTGCATTTTCTTTATAATGAGATCATGCCAGAAATATAGACGCACTTGCCACTAGCGCGTATATATATATGCATATTTGGATCCCCTTTGAGAGTTAAACATACTGCTTGCGCGGTTTGCTGAAGTTATCTTCGTGAAAGCCAACTGAGTCTAAACTGAGCTTGCTGCGTTCAAAGCTACGAAAATCGACTCATGATTGTACAGCAGGTAAATTGATTAAAGCATGCTGAAGACCAGTAGATTACACATTTAGGTCAATACACCTCAGAAAACTAAGATAGGCTGCCATCCGTCTATATTGAGCGCCGTCTATATCACGTTTTACCCTTTGAGTCGCTCTGGCGCCAATAAGTCGACGACTTCAGCATGGCATTGCATTAGGACCAGTCAACTAGCTAGGCTTGTGATCGTACCACTTACTGCTTCGCGACATGGGCGGTGATTAGTGAAGAAAGTCCCGTTTTGTAGACAAAAACAACACCGTAGAAGGTTGAGCATCTCTGACCGCTTTGTCTCGCCATTCCAAGAGGCAAAAATGGTAACTCTTTGCGAATGCGCACCTGGCTACCAAATGCATGGAAGCATCTCAAGCTGCGTTCATAATTTGCGGCACAAGCACCATCAACGTTTTGAGCGTCAATCAGCGTCAGCAACTACGAATGTACAGATATCGACGAGCGATGGCAGCGCCTACTAGGCGTCCCACGTCTCGCTCAGTGTCAGCTCAGCGACCAATCGGCGGCTTGGTGGGCTGAACAAGTATGCGATATTCGATCAGTTTCCACACAGCGTTCCAGAGTAACGGTGATTGGTAATAGTGCAGTGCGGTAGCACACACCAAATTCAACAATCCGCTGTCTCCTCCCTCCTACTTCCCCAATAGCTCTACTCCTGGTCACCGGTGGACGCTGGTAGAAGCTGGAACTATATCCATACATTCCTAGTTCCTCCAGACGCCGATGGTGGCCGACGGACGCAGATGGACGCTGGTAGGCACTGGTAGACGCTGCCGTTCGCTAGCTTGATATCTGTACTTCACAGTCGCGCTGAGAGCGACGCGCACTCCAAACGCTCATGGAGCATTTGGGCAGACGCTACCGCTAAGTATGAACGCAAACGAACGGCTTGATCTTTTGTCTGTCTGGGATTGTCTTAAATGTCTGCCAAGTCTGCCGTGTGGAACGCCACTATACGCCAAAGCTGGGGCAACGAGCAGAAAACAACTATGAACAGAATGCATTGTCAACCTAGTACAATCGCTCTGCTGTGATGATTTTGTGAAAATCTATTGATCTCCTGGTGCAAAGGGAGCGCATGTAACGCCCTTTCCGCTTCCGTAGTGTTTCGAGTCCTTTTGCCCGACTCTCGCACCTTGGCGGAATAGCTTGGAACGCAACACAAATATTCAGACATTTAATGATAAAATCGCTAAGAAGGTTGCGATTTTTTGTTTTGGTTGCAATGGAAGAGATTGTTCGATGAAGAAGTGATGAGAAAAGCTGAGAAATGATCGACGCCGCCCATATGCGATCTGAGCTTCTGTCTGTGTATAAACCGGCTCCTCAAGCAGCGCTTTCTTACGTTACAGTTTCCGCCCCCCCCCCGCGGTCACTATTGAGCTGGAATCGGAAATGTATTGATTATTTATTTCCGCAAATTTGGCACTGATTCCCAACCTGTTTCACGACGAGCTCTCCGCTTACAGGCACTTCAATGTATGCTCCTAAGTTCACTGTATCTTCCGAGCTTCCTTTGTAAGCTGGTGCGGAAAACAGTGTGATGAGAAGGCCATCAGCCAAGCGGCGAGGCGAATACGCCGTGTAAGGGCCTATATAAAGGTTGCTAAATTGACAAAAATATTTGCTTTTGATATTCAATATTTTGGACGATTGCGCCGCAAATACTGGGCGAGAGACCACTTGGCAAAGGGTGAGTGAGTATGAACGCTAAAGTCTCATTCGGCTTAGTAGGTATAAAGTCGCAACAAAAGTACCTGTAACCTGTTCAAGGAAACCAAGCGCGTGGAGTACGTACGGTAGCAGCAATTCCTCGCGCTAAGAATGTTCCTTGTTCGAGAGGTGCAATGAGATTTTTGGCTCGGCACCAGCTCGTTTTCCATTAAACATTACGGCTTCGGGGGTTTGCTGAGTGGCAGAAAGTGGGCTGGCACTGCACCAAGCCAGCTTGTCGCTGACTACGGACACGCCCCGACTGACTTCAGTGATAACAACTACGATAGTGAAAGGTTAACACACGTGACATCTGACCCACAACTTATGAAGCTTGTCCTTGCTAAACAGCACCCTATTCTGAGGAACCTAGTGATACTGTAGATTAGCCTGTTGCCCACCTGATGTCCACGGATGATCATCTTCACTTTCAGTCTCCTACATGCATCTTTCACTTGCCGCGAACTGGGGAAAAGCAGCTGGACCTATTGATCCTACGGTTGCTTCTCTGAAATGAGGAGTATTCGCGGGTTGTATTCCCTCAAAGGCAGTGTGCATGATGGCTGCAGAGGGACGCTTCCTGCCAGCATTGGCTGCGAGAAAGCGTATAAACACCGCACTCAACCTTCCCACGACAGAAGTTGAAGCGGCTGCGCCCAGCCTGCATGACGTTGTCCTTTGAAGGTGACATTCCGCGCTGATCATGCGGGCAAAGTCACTTGACAGGTGCCGTCTTCACCTATGGAGCCCTTTCACAAAAGGCAGAAAAGAGCCCCTGAGTGAAAGGCGATTTCTTAGCCACATAATGGATAAATTAATACAATGCAAGGCCAAAAAGACATGGCTACTCACGCAGTCAATGCGAAATAAAAGTAGTACCTCTCGAAGTTCGGTTCAAATCTCAAACCACTTTATTCAGCGTGTCTGGATCAGACCAAACCAAATCGCATGCTAGAGTCCCTTTCATGAACTCATCAATGGGACGTGCAATCTCACGTATATCCTGAAAACATGGTATGAATTGCAAACTGAATGAGTTCCTGCTGGTCACAATCAAGGGTACGGAAAGTCCGCGTTAGGGACCGTGGAAGGGTATTCAAATAAGGAAGAGAGGTTCTCGGTATATTCTTCAGTGGAGGGAAATTTGGGAAGAACGTCGGAAAAGCGCCTCTGATGGCACCTCTCTAGCTTTCAGCGATTCAGGTCAGCAGAAGGCGAAAAGACCGCGATGGGAGGAGTCCAACCGGCTGATTCTTTATAATGAACCCTACAACTGCCCAAGCGACAGCAAGGCCTCAATTTCGTGCTACTCATCCATATCAGTAGCCCTGAAAGGTGGGCGCCAAAGTTCCGGAGGTTTCGGGTTCCGGAGGCGGAGTCACTAGAAAAAAGGCGGGTTCACTGAGGCAACGTTGCTGCTCAGCTTTTTACCACACACTTTTCTGCAGCGATACTGGTACAAGAATTTCCCGTTGCGCGTCAACGCTAGCATTCCCAGCAATACCTCACATTTTCCGGACCACATTTTCAACCGCGGACCGCTAGTTCGGAATTACATACCTGCAGTGACCGTAGTTTTGGACTAATGCCACCATGCATTGCAAGAATATCACGTCCAATTAAACATGCTAGCGGGAGGTTCATGAAGACATTTTTGAAATGATCGTACATAGGATCCCTCGCTGTTGCTGCATCAGTTGACTTAGCTGAAAACAAATATATCGCTTTGATGGACAAGCTGGTTTCTGAAAGGCCTACCATCAAACTTAGCGTGAACTTCCGTGGCAAACGAGTACAACTGATTCAGGCTTTCTTCTTCGTGATTTCCTCGTATGACGAAAATGTTATCAGGGAAGCAAACCTGAAATTCTCGGTCGCTTATTTTTGGAGGTCTACCTTTGTCCGGCTATGGACAATTATGTAAGATCCTCAGATTGTGTTGATGCTCTGCGGCAGTATTCACCAGCGAATATCAGCGTTTCGAGCGTCCGTCAGCGTGAGCGACGAGAAAAGTATGGGTAGGTCTGGCGTCTACCAGCGTATACAAGCGCCCATCAGCGACAGCCAGATTCCGGGAGTAGAGAGCATGGGGGCAGCAGGAGAGTAGCAGACTGCTGGTGGTAAGGTCGCGGAATTAGGAGTAAGAAGACAGCTGCTGGATAAGGCGTCGTGAAATTGTGGCGTGTGCAACCGTACGGTCCTACTGCGCAATCCCGTATTCCTGGTGGACGCTGGTGGTCGCTGGTGGACGCTGGTAGAAGGCGTTTGGTTGTATGGTCTGATCGAATCTATACCTTTCTTTGTGGCTCTGACGTTGACGGATTTTCAATGCTAATGGACGCTAATAGACGCTGCCGCTAAGTATTATAAACTCAGCTTCACCTTATTCGGCGCTATGGATCCCTGCGCAGTGTCAGAGATGGTATAGGGTAAACAGCACGCTCGCTATCGCACGGCAGTCCCGCTCTCGCCGGTTTCCCGGCCACAAGCTACTAATCTTTCCAGGAAAGGTGAATTGGTGCGATTGGCCTGGGAGCGCAGATGCAAGCAGGCGTGTGATCATTTCGAAATACAACTCTCCGCCTAATTCTATCCTCAAATACGAGCTCCCATGCGTACTCCTACCACTTTGTAGATTTTCCTACTCCTCCATTTTTTTTCAATTTTTTCCGGGAAAATCCAGTTTTTCGGCCAAAAATTTTGCTGTCGAGGGGGAGAGGGGAGGTGGGAGGGAGGAGGAGTGGGGTATAAATCCAATGTGAAATAGGAAAATTTCTCAGATTTTCCCCAATCTCCTACCAGTTTTTCAAATTTCCTTCTGGTTTTTCCCCAAAATTTTACTGTCGAGCGGGGAGTGGGAGGAAGAGTCATCAGGATCTGACTATCATTTTCCTTTCAACGGCCAAATACGACCCCCCTCCTCCCTCGGGTCAAAATAAGAGACTGTGCGATCAGTACAATGATGGCGTGCCCTGCTGGGAGGACACATCCATTGATTTGCACATCGAGCAGTCCCGCGAGGTTGCATACAGGGGGGGCCAAAAAAAAGTCATTTCGGCCGAGCCACATATCAACGAAGTTTTCGCAGCCCAGACAGGGGAAGTGGATATGAGTACCAGAGTGGAAGATACCCAAGATCTTCCTCTATAAGCTGGAGCAGTCTGCCGCCAATCGCCTTCATGTACGCCAAAATATGAAGTCATCTCCAGTCGCGGCCTGACTGGAGAACACCTTTGGAATTCACGTCGCCTCCAAACAGCTGCGAAACTTCTTGAATGAAGTCATCCACAGATAGCTACCTGGAGGTCAGTACTCTTGATCTGCAAGACCTCCCACATCGAGCAGCTTCGTCAACTTCGCTACGGTCTAGGACATCATCTTCACCGTATTCGCCGAGGCGCGAGTTGATGGTATGGACCGGGGTACCTGGGAAGGGGAAGACCGATATTTTCTTTGTAGACCCCGACTGAAGGTGAGCGCTGGCGGTTACATCAAGTAACTCGAGAAGAATATCCTCCCTACATGTGGTCGCCCGTACCTTCTTGGAGACCTTGTGCTGCTACAGGTTTGGGTGCCACCACATGGAATAAGGGTTTTGGAAAAACTCCCGCCTACTTCGAATGGAAGGGCGTTTCGTACCTGGTGAAGATGTAATATTGAAGTATGTCCCCTGACCTGAACCCACTCAATTACCTAGTTCGGGCGGACTCCAAGAGGGTGGTCTACGGTGGCGGAGAAATCGACTACCCCGCTGATCTCAGGTACCACATCGCGGTCGCGTGCCAGAATCTCTCGATGGTGCTCCTCCAGAAGGCTGTGGCGGAGTATCGTTATAGTATTTAATGTGCTCTTTAATATGGTAGTAAAAATGTCCGATAAAAATTTAATAAAGTGTAACTTATAGCGCCTTGAAAGTCATGGAGGCAAAATGACTTTTTTTTTTGGCCCCCCTGTATATCATGTTGCAAACACTAAGCGCCTCGCATACACGCCATGTGTGCATTCAATAAGGCACTACGTTTAGACTAAAAGTAGAATGCGCGCCGCATCCAAAAAAGGAAACAACTGACTGTGAAAGCTCTACCTTAAGACACGTGAGTAGAGCGAAGAGTTCAACGCCATGTGAGCCTCGGTCAACGAAATCTCCAAGGAAGACGCACCTGTAGCAATCCCTCATCAAGAGCTGGTATTCTTAGAGTAACCAATCAAAGAAGGGATTATACCGGGTTTCGTGGGGGGGCCATCCGTTCAGATTGAACCACCGTAGAAGATCAGAATATTGACCGTGCGTGTCTCCGTACACCATGCAAGGTAAAGAAATCTAAAGTCAAAATTATGTTCAAAACCCATATGAAGGATGAAATTGAGGCTGTATCCTGTGTGGTTAGGGAGGATCTGCCTCGGCTCCACCTACCTCTAACAGTGAACATTCTTCAAGGAATATATCAGCACCCATGCGGAGGACTTCCTTTAGCTGTGCCCTATTGAAATCGAATTCTCCTTGGACCGTTTTCAATCATTTTGGTCAACAGATCCGCAGCACACTGTCTACCAGATGTGTACGTTTTTGAAGAGCCTACAAAACAGTTCCTCCCTCCAAAAATGTCGGTATCTTTTCGCATATTATCAGCTGAATTTCAGGATTAATTTCGGAAATAGGGTGCATTTTAGTACATCCGACGCTGATAGGACGACGAAAAATGCGTTGCAATTGGCCTCTGCGACATTCACACCGGGCCCCGATCGCTTCTATGTATATAGCAATTGTACAAAATCTCCAAGAATGGACGATACCCTTGGGAGTGGACACGCTGTGGGCGACCAAATGCTCTCCTCTGGACGACCAATGCAGCATGGACTCTTGCTGCTTGCGTTCTTCTGCGAATGAGCCTGGGAGGAGAAGGGATCACTGATATCGTGTGAGCTCGAGACCATTCTCTGCTCGTATCTGCCTTCTCAATGCGAAGTTGTTTCTTTCTTCCATGTACCTTACCCTCAAAAATCTCAGACGAAGAAGTGATCAAGTGATGGGTGTCCCGTAGTCTTGTCTCGCCCAACACTCGCAACTAACTAGGGAGGTCGTTCAGGACGTGGAGCGCTTTTTGAAAACGGTTTTTTGCATGATGTGGGGTTACGTGCATGGAGTACCAAACTGGTGTTCATTTTTCCTGAACGCCTCTGGGAATGCCAAAAATGGAGTGAAAAAAAGTCCATGGAAACCGACTGTTATTGAGCCTGAATGGGCTCTAAATCACTCGCAAGTTCGGCCAGTTGCTGCCTATAGGGTCCTTATAAAGGTTGTACTGGTATCTATGAGAAAAGTGGTCGTCAATGGGGTCTTACTTGTGGCACGTAGTTGAGAGTCGACGGCCAATTCGTGGGCTCTATAGCAAGTCGAAGTGGTAGCCCGTGGTGCGAGTCGATGGCCTAGTGGATAGCGTGGAGGATTCTCAAGCAGACAGTGGGGATGGGGATGATGGTTCGACTCCCCTCGGCTTGCACGTTTTTGCATTTTTTATTTTCCGTTGTTGTCGCTTCCATATACGTCTGTTAATGAATTTTACTCGGATATCTGCCATTTATAGGCACATCCTAAATAGTTATAGCCCGTAGTCGGTGCTATTCAGCAATTTCGATTTCACATACCATTAAGCAAGAACTTGTCTGAAAGCTGAGCTTATGTTATTCGATGCCCTGATCATGACTATGGCATTTACTTTCAGCTCTAGTGCCATTTATCTCCAATTTGGAGCCAAGTCTTTCTCCCACTGGAGTCGCTATGTACATTCGTTTGAGGGAACTTGCCAGGGCCATCTCTGAGCGTCCAGATTGGATATGAGCGCTCAAGATAAAGTGTCAGAAATCGTGAAATGAAAAATCCAGGACGGCATCGATGTACCGCTATGGAAACTTTTAAGCGCAAAATTTTTTTTTTGATTTTTTTTGAGTCCTGTTGGCGATTGGGTTATGCTCAAGTCACTTTGTTGAAGTCGTACTTTTGCTGGTTATCGAAACCCTCATTCAGTGGTACGGAAACAAAAAACTAGCAACAACCATAAACGCCATCGAAAAAAAGAACAAAATAGTCATCATTCCTCCAGGTGCATTTGATGAAGAAATCGGATGAGTCTCTCCTCTTGGTAGGGGAGGACGACATCTTCGTTGAGCGAGCCGTCGCGGGGGTCGACAAATGTCCAGGATGGTTTTTCACTTGTTCTGCG